CATGTTGCGCAACATATTGCAGAAATCTGCCACGTGTTGCGTAATATACATCTACGAGCCCCTTCCCACTTCAAGATTTGTACCAAAATATGCCTTTATAAACTAAACATCACGAAACTATTTACTTATAAAACAATTTATTTTCTCAAAAACATTTTAGGTACACTCTAGTCGTAAAAAGTACATATTTGATATCACTTATAGACCTATAACTAATAGAACATCTGAACAAATAAATAATGTGAGAATAAATGCGCGAAGTTAACAAAGCAACAATTGAAAGATTACCATTGGGTAACATCACCTTTATTTTTTATTACGGCTGAAATTATTTGGGGCATAGTGTTAACCAAGTTTTGGCAAAAATTTGTTGTAAAAGAATCCTATATTTCTTGAAGCTTTTGTCTCAGTTCGGTGATTGTGCGAGCAGGATGTTTCCTAGAACCTTTTTCATCTTGTGCCACAAAGTTTCAATAGGTGACAGATCTGGACTGCTAGAAACCCATTTCAAAAGTGGTACATTATTTTCTTCCATCCGTTTTATAGCCTTTTTTGAGGTACGGCACGCTGCACCATCTTGCTGAAACACAAACTTGGATGTCAAACATTCTTCCATCACTGATAAAAGCGATTCTTCTAAAATTGCCAAATATTTGTTTGTATCCACATTTCCATCAATAGAATGAAGTTTTCCTACTCCTTTTGATGACATACTGCCCCAGACCATAATGGATGCTGGAAATTTCACTTTTCTCTTCAGACTGTCAACATGAAATGCTTTTTTTTGCGAATAACTCTACTGCGACTGTCACCAACACAAACTTTGAATCGGGCCTCATCACTCCATTGTATTGCACACCATTGTTGAGGTGTCCACTGTCTATATTCTTTAGCCCATCTAAGCCGATTTTTCTTTTGCAGTGGAGTTAATAGTGGCTTTTCTTTGACCTATAAACAAGTGGTGCAACTTTAGGGTTTTTACTTCACTTTTTTTTATAAGAAAACTTACCTTGCAAGTGCTAAATCCCAGTTTGTGGGCCTTTCTATGAGTTGTGGATCTCGAAATTCTCCTTCCACAGCGTCACTCCACAGACCACTTAATTGTAAATAATTGGCACGCCTGTTTTTCACGATTATTCTTCTTAATGCTCTTCGGTCGGCATTTGTGATATTACTTTTTTTCACATATCGTGGCTTAATATTAACTGAACCAGTTAACACTTCGCATGCCAATAGGTCTTCCGTGTTCTGCAAACCATTCATTTGCAATGGACCTGGTAGTGGAGAAACGGTCCCTTAAGGCCAATAATCTTAGGCGGCGATCTTCACGGTCTGTTGTTCTACGGCGGCGTCCAGTGCCCCTTGCTCTTTGCGTACGGCCTTCTCGAAGCCATGCCTGACAACACCTAACCACAGTGTCTACACTTCTTTGCACTCTAACTGCAATTGCCCGAAAAGAAAGTCCAGCTTCCCGAAGTCCCACTATACGGCCCCTATCAAACTCACTAAGTTGGCGAAATCGTACATGTCTCCGTACTCTAGGCATCGTAACCGATCGTAAAGGATGTCAAGAACCAAAATCCGCCAACGTTGATTCTTTACTGCGGCTGAAATATTCATTTTTAGAGCGTTAGTGAATTAAAAAAAAAAAGCAGTATAAAAACCAGAATGTCCAACTGATAAGGCTGAAAATTTTTTCACTTGTTATTTACAGTAAGATAAATACACTCACCAACTTTTATTAAAATAAAACCATTTAAACTGGGTGTTCGGATTTATATGTCACTTAGTATATTATCAAAATATTCATTTTTAATATTTTAAACCTATAACACCCTGCTACATTTGTATTATTTGTGTTTGATAAGAAAAAACTAAGATTTCAATAGTTGGGCCAACCGAAGAGGGAACGGGCTCGTATACATGAAACGTGCGTACAAGGTGACCAATTTAATATCAGTAAGCTGGCAGCTATCTGTGGTGTAGCCGGATTTGCCACTATTTTGAAAATATCTTAGGCGAATGGGTTCCTTCAGTTACACTAAATATAAATCCAAATTTTCGTAACTAACTTACGTCAGGTTTGAATTCCAGTTATGAGCGAAATAAGAAAAAAAGGTTGTTATAAATACTGTACCGTTCGAAAAAGTACGAGCACAACAATCACGACCCCTAATAAACATTTTTTCTACGTACCTTCATATGAAAATATAAGGAAGAAATGGTGCGGACTTATGATGCGTGATTTGATTAGACCAAAAAGAACCATATATGTCTGTGAGGACCACTTTGAAGAGAGTATATCACTTTACAATTTATTTATGATTATTAGTTATTATATGATTTCCAAGCTCATTTCACTGTACACGCGGCATTTGGAGGGGAAATATTCATCAATTAATATTACAGGTCACTTATTTCAACTCAGCGAGAATAGCTGTGAGCTAGTGTAGTGTCACTTACCCCCTAAAAAGGCGTCAAGTAGGTTGACTCTTTACTGTGTGCATGTGCAATGTTATTATATACTTTAATGAGATTTTAGAAAGGTATCATGTCATATTGGCAAATATGTACTCATATTAAGCATCAACACTAACTTGTTTAAAACCTCAGTAGGATATCACACATTTTGCCGCTAGTTGCGATAGTGTAGCAGTAGACATAAGTATTTACTTCCAAAGTTTCACACCTTCTATTTCAGCGCTTGTATATGATGGATTTGATGAAATGAATTCTATCACGGCATAAATGTCAATTTTAGGCAAATTGTCACTTAACCCTTTTACAAATCCGGCTTCCATAATGGTATATAACAGCAGCAATAATTTCGCGCTATAATGCGCCAAATTTAAGTATCAATTTCTCTGTCATTTATTGGCCGATTTAAATGATTTTTTCACTGGCTGATTATATTTAGTCTATATCTTGCTGGTATGACATTACTAATGCGATTCTGAATATCACGAATCTTCGCCATCAAGAAATCTTTACATACGTTTTAATATTTTTACCGCGTGATTTCAAAAATATAACGTTTTGGCAAAGAAACTTTAAGCTTATTCGGTCTAGCTGATACAGAAAAAGTCCATATACCGTTCGAATTTACCTCAAACAAAGAACACGTCCGGTTCTCAGTAATGAACATGCTTTGTTGACAATACGTGCTTTTTGAGTCTGTGTTTGTACACATACCAATTGAATAATCCAACTGCCTCCATAATCTATAATGAAAACATCGGGATATTCCAATAATGAAAGCAAACATATGATTCAAAAAAAAAACCTGCAGGGTGGAGTCTCTATGTAAACACAGCAGGACGTTTTATACAGTTATTGGAAAGGGAATAAACAGTACCGCACATTTTCCCAAGGGTAAACAGCTTTTAAAGTGGACAAAACCTTTTCGCCTGGCACAAAATCTGAATTGTGAAATACGGTGCTTAGCCGTTTTATGTGTATAAACAGGGCGGTATGAATTCAAGTACATTGGAGTCTTCATAGCTAGGGGACAACGCGCAAAGAGCAAAATCCAGAACCACCTGTAGCAGGCATTTCCGCACCCAAATACATCCAGCCTCTCAAAGCGACAAGCAAGGATGAAATTATCTGTTGTTTTGGATGTACCAGACACGTCACAGCCAAGTGGCTTTGTGAACGTAAAAACCCAGAACTGTTGATGTAACGCATCTGAATTGTTCATGGACCCGAAATACAAGAAATAGCTCATCAACATCTCAACTGTGAGAAAATAATATAAGACAACAGTTTGGCCTCAAGGGGACCAAGCCCAACATCTGCGCTTTTGGGACCCAATAACAGACCATAAGAAAAAAACCATCAATTATATCTTTTCTCCAAGGATACTTAATCAAGCAGAACAGGAAAAACAATTGTTGGTTAACTTTACATAGATAGATTTTTTCACCACCCTTTTGCAACTGTTATTCTATTTGTAAAATAAGCACAACAAATGTTGAATTAAAAGCTATCTCCACCTATCTGTTTACTGGATGCAACGTATTTTATATCGAATTTAGTATGCTAAAAAATATATCGCTAGTGGGTTGACTAGAAAATTCTTGGCGTGGCTGTGAATAATTAGAAATTAAGAATGACTTTTTATTAAAATTTGCACCAATAAGTTTAACAAATAAATTTAATACCAACCGAAAGTATGAAGCCTCAAGAATATGCAAGGTATGCAGGTATGTTGATACCAGTTATTTGCATCTATTTGTTCAATACATAAATTTTATATCAAAACAGCACCTTTTCATTGCGAACATGATTATATAGGGTTGCGTGCAAAAAACCTGTTTGAAATGATGATTGTCAGGTTTTGAAGAGTGAAATGTCGATGTCAGTGGAAACTTGCCACAAAGTGTATACTGTGCAATAGAAGAGGACGCATCTAAGGGTCTTGAACTTTTTTTATACTCCAACTATCACGGAGGCCTAAAGCCTAAACAACCATAGGGTACCGTGGGGATATAGGGGGATGTAGGGGAAAGGGGGAACGCCACACGGACTCTGGCGAGGGAACACGTGTGTATGGTATGCATCGCCTACGAGACCCACCAGGTGGTACGTCTGCGTTCGACAGTCAGAGATCATCTACAACCTACGGAAAATGACAACATCCATAGCCAAGAGAAAAAATTCTCTTGGGACGGGATTAGAACTCGCACAGCGCACGGCGACTGATCAGGAGACCGAAGAGTCTACTACTGCGGCCGCCGCTCATATAGAAAAAAGAAAGAAAAAACTCAGCACACAAAGTTATTTTAAATGATTTGTTGAGCATTTAGACAATAAATAAAATAATATTGTAACCCCAGTACTATTTGACAACAAATTATACTATATAAGTCGTGAAAATGCATTTTTCTAACAGAAAATTGATGTTACTTATTAATCGTGATCTTAACAGCGGGAGATGAAAGGCTAAAAAAAGAGCTTTTCTCTTTTTAAAGCAGTAAAAAAATAATAAGTCTGAAGGATTAGTATAAAATATGTCCGTTAGGTACCTTGCCTTTGGCGACAAAATCAACACAATCGTAGATCAAAACTGTCAAATCCTCTGCCCTACGTTGGAGGTAGGTACGACGTGTCCGTTTCTTGCCGTGTAGAATGACGGAATGGCGATTCATTTTCCTTGTGGCTTTTCTCGCACTTTCAAAACTCATTTTTCTCTTCTGCCATATACTGAAAAATGTATTTGTAATAAAAGGCCTCATTTTTCACTTTTGTCACGTCGTCCATCTGGACTTGTTCTATTGTTTACACGGGCCACGCAGTAGACAGTTTCAAAAGAGAACGCGGACAATTATATTTCTTCCTTCCTGATCCTGATAGGGCTTTTTTCGTACAATGCCCGACAAAACCTTTCAGACAAAAAATATTACTTATAGCATGAAAAATGATGTATTCACATTCTGAATATGATAACTTGGGCACAGCGGTCTTGTACACAACTAGGAGCATTTTTAATAGGTATTTACCAAATTTTTATTTTCAAAACAAGAAGTTCTAACACGATGTAGTACCTATTTCATAAAAATGATGGATGTGCATGTCATAAGCGAAGTAGTATGATACTTTCACCATTTTTCAAACTAAAATGTTTATTCTTGGCTCATTCTAAACCAATATGTGTATAGTTTTTGTTTAGATTGAGTAAATAATAAGGAAAGCATTTAAAAAATGTATGTTTGTGTTGTCATGTAATTATGAATCACCGGCATATTTTCCAAGTAAGGTGCGATTATAGCTGCCTATCATTTCCTAAAGTAACTTTTTTAGGTATTTAAAATATCGCAACTACCAACCACTGACACATTAAAAACTCACCCTGTGTGCAGATTTATCCTAGCTGAAGTGTTATCAGAAGTGTCCGATTTGGTTGTCAAAAAACCACGGAAATTCTTTTGATTCAGCGAATCTTGTTTGCCTGGTGTTTTTAACAGCGTTTATATTGAAAATGCAATGGATTGAGGATATCAAAGCAGCAAAGAATACCTGGCAAAAGTGAATACTTTTTATATTCGTACCAAATTTTGCTTTTTGTAAAATAGGCGGTTGTGCATGTAATTCGCCAAGCCGACTGCTACTTTCACCATTTTTGAACGCTCAGAGTTAAACAGGGTGCTTATTCTAAAACTTCACCACGGATTTATCGGAAACCACTGATTAAAAGAAAAAATGCCGAGACACGTCAAAAGCTTTGTCAAAGCTTTTTAACCAAAAATTAATTCATCCCCTTTCACAGGGTCATCCCCTTAAAAATTCAAAATGACAAGGGGTATCTAGTAATAGCTTGTTTAAAAGGTCTTTCGAAGTCCTTTATTTTGACGTCTAATTTTTTAAAGTCGATCGATTTGTTTTCAAGAAAATATTTATTTATCTCAATTTGTCCAGATAGAAAACAAAAACACAAAAAAATATCACTGTTTGTGATAGATGGAGAGCTTTCGATGATGGGTTGTTCGTCCAAACTTTCAGGTTGGGAGCAAACACAACATATTTCAAATGACTCCATAGAAAAAAGTCTAATAGCGTCAAATCAGGAGATCTAGCAGGCCATTCTATAGACCGTTTTTGCCCTCTTTTTATCTGGAAACTCGTCGCCTAGCCATTGCCGAACCGGAAGAACATAGTGAGGAGGAGCGCCGTCTTGCTGGAAATATAGCCTCATCAAGTAAAGGGTATCCATCCTCTTCGATTTAGTTTTCAATGGTTTCAGTTATAAGTGGATTGATGGTATTTTCCAACATATCCAAATAACTGTCTCCTATCAAATGTCTAATTATAAAAAATGGCCCAATCACTTTATTTCCTAAAATGACTGCACAAGCATCAATTTTTTGAGGGCACTGGGTATGCCCTTTTACAAAAGCATGAGGATTTTCATTGCACCAATATCTGCAGTTATGCTTTTTAGCAAATCCATTTAGATGAAATGTGCATTCATCACTGAGGCAGATATTCTTTACATTCTGATTTTTCTTGAAAAAAACGTCCGAATAATGTCACATTTGAACAGCTGTCAAATTAACCGTTTTGGATTTATTGGCAAAAAACAAATTCGGCAATTTTCGGTTTTCCGCTGATATCTTTAAAATAAATTGACCGATCGTAAATCTAAAGCCGGCTATCGAAAACATTGACTTTCCTTCAAACCTTGCCCCATGTAACCTTTGCTGTACGTATAATAGGAGCCCAGCTCCCTGTATAGAGAAGCAAATCTGGGAGACTGCATAAAGCGGTCATAGACCCTTGCTTGATCAGTTCCTCGAAAGACACTGACGAGTCAACTTCGAACTCCTGCTGAAGTTGCCATATAGTGGTGACTGTGAAACGTCAAGAATTAACAATCACCAACACCGGCCAGACGGACCTAGAAACAATGGTTGCGAATGTCTTATGAAATTTTACTATTACTATTTGTCATTGTTCGTCAGAGCGGTCCGGTGAACCTTTGCTCTTCATTGAAATTCTCGTCGGTCTGTTAGTCTGTCAGGTCTGGCTACCCAGATACCAAATATGTTTAATGGGGGAAGGGAAAGAAGGAAAGTAAGGAAGAAACAGAGCAAACAAAAGAAAAAAATTATTTGAAATAGCCTAAGCATTATTGTTTTGACTACTCGAATTATTTTGTAGCTCCAAAAATAATTTTGATCAGTTTTGTATACTGAAATAATTTTGGCTGGTCTGAACATACAATTTAATTTTGATCACAGTGCGAGGCGCGGCCTGGAATGTTTGCGAACTAGCTAGTCTGTGTAGTCTACTGAATCGCGCAACAGCGGGCTGGTGTGCGATTCGGCTTGAATAATGAAATTCTATACTAACGTAGTCTGTCTCCAAGGTGGATCCAGTAGGAGCGTCATGATCCCCCTGGGCGAATCGCTCTTCGATGTTCAATCGGCTACAACCGCTCCGCTCTTCAGTTTTCAAATGGAGCACCCCGCCCCCGAGACGACTATCTTTCTGCCTGCCATACTTGCCAATGACTAGACCCATACCGTATTCATGATTGCCAAAAGGTATGGAATAATGATGTATACGGTTGGGTATGGCCAAACAGACGTTCAGCAGATATACCCTATTCAACTACAGGTCTAGTGCTAAAAAAAACATTTTCGTTGGCGAGCGATCCTACTTACCTCATTCAGTAGACTTTAAGATTAGGTTCCAATTGACCTCTGTCGTCGACATAACGAAAATTGCACTGATGCTCAGTTTCTTGTTCCAACAACTTAGTTACGGACTTTCCAATTTAAATTTCATTTCTCTGAGAACTCTTTCTATGGTTTCCGGTCCGAAATATTGCGGATAATTACAGGTCATTATCAGCCAATAAATATTTCAAATAATTTCATGAGCATAATCGCCATTGAAATGTTCCATTATTGCTTACTAACATCAAGCCAGCATTATTAATGTACATCCAGGTCCGCATTTAGTTTTTCACCCCAGCTTTTAGTCAGTTTGCTTTTGTCGTCTTGTTATTCAGGATGATAATTATGTATTAGAAGGAGGGTATGCAACTGAGATAGTAGTACTTCGGCCGCACTGAACTTCTTGTATATCTTGACAAGGGCTTATCCAGGCCTAAATCATCAGATATCCCAAACTATTAAGAAGGTGGTGAACAGAATAATTGAGTGAAAGTGGGCTTGGTCCTTTTATTTCTCTGGAAACTGTATTATTGAACGCTGATTGAATAGCCACTCATACAATCATTCTCGTAAGTTTTGCCGTCCTTCATCAATCTGGTCTCTAAAGATCAAATTAACTTTGTCATGGGGCGTTTAATGATTTAGAAAACCCACGAACGTATTATTTTGCTGAAAGAGGATGCCGTCACAAAATTGTTTTTCATCTGTCAACGGCTGTCAAAATTTGAGATCATTCCTCAGATATTCTACTCCCTTGGATTCAATGCTAGGGGTCCAGAATAGGACCTAGCATTTATAGGACACCAGGATGTCGACCTGTAACACAGCTTTCATGGCTTCCATGGGAAGGTTACAGGCTTTACTGATCTTTTTGTCAGCTGTAGTAATGTTTTATGGTTCTGAGTGACTCTTTATCCAGGCAACTACATTGTTGCTGGTGAATGATCTTACAAAGGCTAAATTGCAAACTAGTGTTTTTTGTTCGATTCATTGTGAGTATTCTCGTCGAACGTGAGCTCATGTTCATCTTACTTACAGCAAAAGAAAAAAGTCATATGGATTAATCGACAAAATAGCAGCTGCACTGATGAATTCGAATATGAAGCAGTTGACGTCACAAGCGCTCCTATTAATATGTCAGTATTAAACAAAACTGCTGTTTTTTCTCTCTGGTCTTCCCTCATTTATCTCATTTATAAGGCTCACTGTTATTTCCAGCTTGCGTTTTCTATTTAGTTAATCAACTCGCGAAGGGAGCTCCCCAGTTACGTTTACCCTCTGCTCATTCAGTTAAAATTAGATTTTGTGTGTTATCACAGGGTCTCTCACTATGTGCCTAACATATTAACCATATGCATTTCAGGCATTTCATTAATTTAGGCATATCCCTTGGTAGTTGAAGTTACTTGATGCGAAATGGTCCCCAGAGATCCTATGGCCAAATATGACATAATTTGCACTATTCCTGAAAACGCTGACTTTCAGCATTTTCATTAAATTTTATATGGTACCCCACGTTGAATGATTTAGTTCTCCCACTATTACTAATTGTTGAGATCAAAGTATGTCAGTATAGATCCAAGGTAAATATATTAAACTATCAGTATCATCGTAAAGCAGAAGGACTTCAACTTTAGTCAGACACAAGGGGGACCTGCCATAACAAAGCAAGTAGAAGATGGTGAAGGAAGTCGTTGCTTCCAGTCTTTCATTCAAAATATACTATTAGGATTAAGTTATTCAAAGATAACAATTTACGTACGAATACTGACCTGTAAATTAATAACAAATCGACATTTTCATTGAATTTCATTTGGCACCTCACGTTGGATGACTCAGTTTGCTCCACTGTTACCAACTATTTGAGAACAATATATGAGATTAAATACGTTCGTGTAGATCCGAGTAAAATATATTTAACTATTAGTATCATCGTAAGGCAGAAGCAGTTCGACTTTTGTTTGATCAAGACCTGCCATAACCGAGTGGAAGAGGGAAAATGATGCGGCCAGTGTTTCATGGAAA